CAGCCTCCATCCGCTGCCAAGCAATCGAAGCTCAACCTCAAACTCAATCCCATTTCATCAACACAATCCAAACTTCACAACAGAGCATGCGCGAGTCTTCAACAAAATGCCGCGCTACAAGACGGAGTGGTTCGATTCTCTAGTTGCAGCAGCCGGGTCTCTTCTGAATGAAAGTCCGTCCATCTCAACGGACGAGGCCTGCCAGAAACTCGAGTCCAGTAAGTCCTCCTCATCCGTCATTGCCTCATCGAAAACACCAAGGAACTAGACTGACCAACTGATGTCTAAACAGGTGTTCCCGAACAGCTCACTGCCCGACAGTTAACAGGCTCAGCTGGGAGATACATGATCAAGGTGAATGAATATCACTGTTACTCAACCAGGAATCTGTCAACCAGCAACTAGCTAACCGAAACCATCAGAACTTCACCACCCGCACTCCCCAATCTCATACCCGGCAACAATTCACCCTAGCAGTGCTCGCCTGCCTACTTCTTCCTTACCGAATCCGACCCGAGCACGATACAACAAGCGCAAGCGAAAACAGTTCAGAAAACGAAAACAACGAGGACAGCCTCCCGTTAACCAAGCGCCTCGTTCGCTCCGTAGCACGAGCTATCTCCCCCGTCCTCCCCAAACCAAACCACGGGAACCCAGATGACCTCGATGACTCCAGCGCCAACCAACAACTCCGCACTCAGCTCACCACGCAATGCCTAGCCGCCGCCGACGCAGCCTTCAAAATCTTCGAGCTCCTCGCCGCGCGTGATCCGGAAATCCTCGATAACACTGACGTCCTCCTCACGCTCATCGCTTACACCAATCCCGGCGAGGAGTGGACGACTCCCGATCTAGCGGCCCGCGCCACACTGCTTCTGAAGCAGCACTTCGATTCCTTTGAAGAGTCAAGCTCCAAAAAGCAAGACTTCATAACAACCACTGTCCTCCCCAGCTACCTCCGCCCGCTCTTCTCCAAGTCCTCCCCTCAATCATCGATAACCCCCTCAGGCCGGCCCTCCGCCTATGGCGCCAACCCCGACGCCCGTCCCTCTGGCCTGCCCGACGACTCAAGCGCGACCAAACCGTGGAAATTCGTCGACCTGCACGCCGTTACCGTGTTCGAGTGGACCGTCTCCGAAGCGGACGGAGAGACGACCATCACCAAGTCCTGGCCGCTGTTTATTCCCGTGGTGTTGACGCTGGCGGATGATAACTCCACCTATGTCAGAAAGAGGGGACTGGTGATTCTGGGGGAATTCTTGGACAAGTTTCCGAGTAGGATTCTGAGCGATACGGGGCTGAACAAAGTGTTTGAGGACACGGTGCTACCTAGTCTGAGTTATCTGCCTAGTATCACGCCGGAAGAGGAGTCGGCGGAGTTGCTTGGGCCGGCGTATGCGGCGTTGAGGTATTTGGCAGGGAAGTTGTCTGGGGAGGGAAAGAAGAATAAGTTGTTGGATAGGGTAGTCAGGGAGGGAATACTGCTGGGGTATTTCCATGCGAAGGAGCATGTGAGCATCGTGGAGGTGTTATGCCGTGAGATGGGAGAGGTGTTGGTGGAGATGGGGGGTGGGTGCGGTTAAACATCTCAAGGTATGTGGTATTTGTGCTACTTGTGCTACTTGTGCTCCTGATGCAAGGACTAGAGGGAAAACGGAAAACGGAAACGATGCTAATCATGCTAATCGTCAAACTTCGTAACAGGACATTATCCCCATGCTCTCAACAATCTTAACCGACCCTTTCGCCTCCCTCCATCAACCAACCTTGCTATCCGCCATCAGAGCGCTCCAGGCCGTTCTCGCAACATGCTGGCCTCGGATTCCCAACTCGCCTTGGCAGGACGAGATTATTAATTCCCTGGTGCTCTGCTGGCTCAATCTTGGCACCTCCAGTACTTCGGACAACTTCCTGGCGATCAGACAGGCACTCGTCCACGCAGCAGACGCACTCGCCGCTGTCCTAGCTACGGAGGAAGAGGAGGGTAAACCGGCCATCAATCTCTCAAAAGTCGTGGCACCGCTAGTGGCGAAAGAGCCCTCTCTTTCCCAGCTTTTCTCCGCAACGGCGTCGAACAAGGAGGGACAAGACTCGGGGTTGGAGTCCTAAAGTTGTCGCAGAGGCGCTGGATTCGGGTCCTTTCCCTGCCTCTAGACCGTGAGCGACTTTGTGCGTCCTCATTTTCGGTTTGAGCCCCAAGGCCCCGTCCACGTCCTCTGGAAGAAGAAGAAGAACCCTCTCGGGGTCCAGCACCATCATCATAATCATCATTATCATCCTCAACAGCCCCATCCAGCCCACCACAACAAACACCCCGACCAACACCACCCATAGTCAACACCCTCCTGGCTTCACTGGGCGAGACAACAACAAAGACGACCGACGAAGCCCGCCTCGTCCCGCCATCATCCCTCCTATCCTGCCTATCCCTATCCGTAATCTCATCACAAAGTCATGATGTTTAACCAGATACCCCGTAGTATTATTATTCCCGCCGCCCCCTTCCTCTTCATCCGGCCCGACAACCAAGGGCTCCTAGTCCACCGGCTGCTGTTTGAAGAGGCTTTTCCCCCTCAACCACTTCCTATAGGCCTTATACCTCTTCTTCTGCGCGTCCTCCTCGGTAACGGTGAGCGGGTTCTCGCTGACCTTGAGCATCTCAATGTAAAGCGCCTTGTCATCGTCTGCTAACCCAGACCCAGACCCAGACCCAGTGTTTGTTCCGTTGTTGTTCTCACCACCTCCTCCAGTTCCTGCTAGGGCTCCTCTTGTGACTCCACCACCGCCGCCATAACCACTGTACATACTACTCGCATAGCCCGCAATGCCTAACCCGCCGTCGTAACCATCTCCATGTTCGTCGTCCTCAACTACGACAGAAGCAGGATACTGCCAACTCCCATTCACATACTCCTGATACTCGGGCTCGACCTCTCCGGGTGCAATCTCACTCGACACCACCAGCGGCAAGTGGTGTGGATGACTAACGTAGCGGGCGTAGTCCTCGGCCTCGGCTGTGCTGACGGTCGGGTTGAGGCTGGAGTGCACTACTTTGGTGAAGGTCCACTGGGCGGCTCGCGTCTTTTCTTGGGCGGAGAGGTGTTTGTTTCCTCCTTGTGCAGAAGAGGTGGTATAGGTGTAGTCATTGTTGCTGCTGGACGGAAGTTGTTGATGGTGGTGGTGGAGGCTGGTGTGGTAATTGCTGAAGGGGCGGTAGGGGTAGTCTCCTCCAAGCTCAGTGCTTTCGCTGGTGTTGTTATTACTGGAGGATTCCCGGCCGAGGGTTCGTGGGTTGTTGGCGGTGGTAGTATTTGGGTCTGAGGGTCCAGCGGAGGTGGTTTGAGTTTCCTTGGTGCTGCCGCCGCCGCCGGGGAGCCAGCGCTGAAGGGAGATGCCGCGGTGGTGACCAGGTGCTGCTACATTGCCGCCACCGCCGTTGTTGTCCATGGCAGCAAGAGCAGCTTTCTCGTTCATCGCTGAAGCATTCTCCGCGGCGTCCTCGGCTAGATGACTTGTTCCCTGGAAGTGGTCGGCGCGGTTCGTGGTGGTGGTGTTGGCAAACGTCACCTCCTTCTTGACCTTCTTCCTGTCATTCGCATGGTCACCATCACCGCCACCGGTCCCGCCTACCTCGCCGCGCACGCGGAACGGGCTGAGGTCGTACCGGCCTTCCTGGGTGGACTTGAAGGGTATGTATCTGAGAGTCGAGTTCATGCGGTAGGAAACATCTTGAGAAAGGACGAGAGCGTGGAGGGGCGGTAGTACTCGAGCCAGTAGTCGTCGTAGCGGGACACGGGGATCTTGCTGGGCGCCGAGTTGGGCTTGATGGCCGGGTAAGGGGGCAGCACGCGCGGTTCGAGAAACTCAGGCGTGTACCAGTTGATGTAGTGCCGCTTGCGCTTCTCGAGCCACTGCCGCGGATCTTCGTGGTGCAGGTAGTAGTCGGTGGCCAGGTCCCAGAGCATGGGCTGCCCTTGGGCGAAGATGTAGTTACCAAGGAACAGGTTGTAGGCCTCCTGCCGCTGGCCGTCGAGAAACGAGTTGTTGTAGTACCGCTTGAAACTCTCAATCATGTCGCGCGAGTGGCTGGTCCACTGGTTGATCTTTCGGTACGTCTCCATGGTGTTGACAAGCTGCGAACCGCCGTACTGGACGGCGATGGTGTCGCCGTGGTCGTGATACATGTGCGTGAACAGGTTGACGGCGTCGGTGTCGTAGTTGACAGTAGTGTCCTCCAGGATGCCCAGAGCATGGAGCTGGTGGCCTAAGGCTCGCTTGCCAATCACGAACTGAGCCGCGTTGGTCCGGTCCAGACAGTCGATACAGTTCGTCCGCGCGACTCCGTTCTGGACTCGGATCGGGGATGTGTGGCCGTCACCGTTGTGGAAGAAGCCGGTCGTGAGGACGACGTCCTCGGCGATGCTTTCCAGTGTCCCGATGACATCCTGGTCCCGACTCTTAGCGGCTCGCGACATGTCCCAGGCACGGTAGATGATCTGTTTATCCTTGGGCAGGAGCTGGTTGAGATATTCTACGGCGCGGGTAAACTCGTCCAGCAGTTTACTTTCACGCGGGGTGCGCTCGCGCGCCTTGACCAGGTTCAGGACGTAGATGGGTGCTCCGTACCGCTCAAAGAGGTTATCAAAATGCAGGGCTGCTGCCGTGTAAAAGGGGTCAACGAGGTTCAGCTCGATGGGCGGCTTGGGTGTTACACCCGTGTTGTCCTGAGTCCAGTACAATGGGATGGAGCCTCTGTGCTGCACATACGAGGTGTAAGCTGGGCTTGCAAAAAACTTTGGGCCCGGGGCGTGGAAGGAGGTCGTCAGTGACTCGGACACAATCTGTTCAGTCTCGACATCGTTTGCTACGTATCCCAAGTCGTTGGCACCTCTTTTGAGGAATCTTGCGCCGGCAAAGTACCTGCTTCTTCTGGCGATGACAGTGACGTGGGCGGTTCGGCCGTAGATGGAGATGGCGGCTTGGTCGAAGTAGCCGTGGATAATGGGGCGACACCAGTCATAGGGAGTATTCAAGACGTTGGTGACAGGTTGAAGCAGGTGGTTGTTCCAGACGAACATGGAATTCAGGTCATCCTCCATAGGACCAACCTGGCCGGTCAGCAACGCCTCTCGTTCCCTGGTAATGTTGTACTGCAATGTGCGAGTGATGTCATACGAGTAGCTGTAGTAGAATGATCTTGTCAAGTCCAGATTGTTCAAGATGCCCAGGAAGCGCGTCTCCTCGGTGTTCCGCTGGTCTGTCTTGAAACTGGGCGAAACCAAGGGAATCAGATCGGTGCCATCAATTTGGTAGACATAGTGACCACCTATCATGGCCACTGTGCTCTTCTTGGTGATGAGCAGCATGTACCATGGGCCGGTGAACTTGATGAAACCAAGCAGACCCCAGGTAGTGCAGCGCAGCTTTAGACCTCCAGTACCCTTGTTGCCGTCGTCGATGGTGTCCAGCAGCTGGTTCATGTCTTTCTGTGAGTATATGGTCTTGTCATCTGTGATGCTCAACTCTGAGGCCTCATCTGCGGTGCGTTCGATCTTGAGGATGCGGTAGCGTTTCTCAGTGACATCGCCGCCGACCATGTAGAAGCGACTGGAGGTTTCGTAGAGACTGAACTTGTGCATCTTGTGCTTCAGCCTGGACCGTGGTCGTTCGCCAGAAGTGCCATCCATCCTGCCCACATCTTCCTCTTCTTCCTCGGGGGCTAAAAGACCCGAGCGCGAGGTGGGATCTGGACTGGTGGTGCGGTGGAAGGGTTTGGCGACGGCAGGCTCATCGTCGTCGTTGTCGCCGACGCCAGCGCCAGCACGCGACGACTTGTTCTTTCCAGAGCTTTCGGGTTCGGCATCGGCACTGGCATTATTGTGAAGCAGAGGAAACGGTGGGTTTACCGATCGTTCACTCGCTGTATCGTCCGGAATTGGGCTCTTTGGGTTATTTGGGTCCCGATCGGATGGCGGCGGAGGTGATGTCGAACTGGAACCGCCAGCTCGGGGCGCCGCCGGCGAGGGCGCTAGCAGCAGTCAGGTCGGGCTCGGATGCATCTGTCATCTTGTCCGTTGTCCCTGGCAGGGAGTGTACGGGCCGCACTTTACGCAGCAGTCGACATGACTTGGTCAATGGCCGAGGTTGATGATGTAGGTGAGCAGAAGTTCAAATAAGGTGTTGCCGCGATAAGGCGATGATGTAACTGGAACGCTACTACACCCTAATGGCTACCTAGCTTCCCCCGGGGTCCCTGGTATCCAGCGCCTTCCCCCGCTATTTCTCATACAATCACAGGGGCTAGCTTCAGTTGGCCGTTGGATTCCCCGCCATGTCACCTGCGCAGATCTCTTACCAAGACATCAACCACTCCCATCCATCTCTTCCTCATTCTCTCCACTTCCACTTCCCGCCGGCATCTTCATCACTCTTCGATACCTTCGTCTCTCCTGGTCAATACTTGCAGCATTATCATTTTACGCCCTTCGTTTCCTGGTATTCCAATCCAAGTTACTCAGACATTCTCGTGGAAGACAACACGAGTTCTTGAATACAAGCCCTCTGCCACTTCGGAGCTTCTCTTGTCCCAGTTGGGCAATGAGGAACACGCTCTACGCCACTGCCTCATTATTCATTAAGCGGACTGAAAATATAACGCCCGAACTTCAGATTTGCGCAGGATCTGGATTGGACTTCCCATACATATTCTTCTGTTCCTCAGTCGTCTGGGCGAATTCTTCCCGTTACGCTGGCGATCACTCTTGTGGGATCCAAACAAATATGACCAAGAGGCAGTCGTCTGCCTACTGTCTTGATGGAACACACAAATTTAGAATGAGGAGGAACGGGATAAGAAAAACAGTTACTCGCCTGCTTCCCATTATCGTGGCCTTGTAATTCTGCAGACGGTGAATTCGAAGAGCAAGGCTCTCGTCATCTCATGGGTGTCTAGCGAACCTACCAGCCGTTCGAAACCGGATATCGGGGCTTTGGTATCCCACGCCTATGATGGCGTGAAGGCTTCAATACTTTGAAAAAAAAAAAATACACACTGACCTTGACCTCATTGACAGGTCTAAGCCCCGTGATGCCACGCATCTGGGCACTCTCGGGTTGGGATGCTCCATCAAAGCCGCACGTCCGCCCGGTGGACATCAAGGCGGCCGTGATCTCGTAACGCAACATCGACCAACATATGGACTTCCTGGCATATCCTCACGAAAGGGAGCATGAAAGCGAAATATTGATCACTCCTCATGTTTGCATCAACAATCCAGTTCCACAGCAGCTTTGGAAGATGCGAGTTGGTCAGTGTCCGGGCGGCGTTCAGATTTTCATGAGGGCGGCAGCACTTCACTTGCAACTTCATCTCAACTCATCCCAAGGCCCAACAAAATTCGAAATTCACTTGTGCGTGTCGTGACCCTCTTCGCTTTTACAACCCCGCGTCACGGAGACCATCATTGCCATATCTTGCTCCCTTGGTTGCGCCAGACCCTTGAATCCTGATCGTCAACGCCTCGAGGTTCATATACCGGGTTCCGACCCAACTAAAGCGAGCGAAATAGCCATTCGGGCATATCTAGCTTTCTATCACCTTTCCGGCGAAATATAACACCATGAGCAGCGCGTAAATTCTTCTCAATCTGACGCTGGTGTGATTCTTTGGCTGACACATCTTTGCAGACCACCGACCGCTCTAGGAGCGACAGCGACGGTGGAACAACCCTCAGCTGTCGTCGCCTCGTCTCCAGATATTACTGTGGCAGCCACACATGAGCCTGGCGCAAGCTTGTTGACGGAGGCATGCGCAACGCCTGAGTACACCTTACTTAAATTGGAGTCATCAGCGGTTTACGCACCATTTGTTGGTTGCGTAAACACCAAGCAAGACTGTTGCCCTTCCCAACCTCAAACATCGGTTGCAATCGGATTCAATGACGTGTATCCAAAAGGGCCAAATCCCGAACAGGCGGTCCTAGAACGCTGCCCCGCCGACTACTACTCAATTTCAGCCCGTTGCTGCCCCAAGTAAGCAAAATCCTGCGGTTGAGGAACGTAACTCAGACTGGAATCATGCTAACAAATGACTTCCTAGCGGTTACACCTTGTGGACGACTGACCTGGGAGGCCAGACACCGTGCTTCAGTGTCCTCCAGGCAGCAATGACACCCCCTCCCATCACGAACACGGCATCATCCAATGAGGCCAAGCCGACCGTTGTCGTCTCCGACGTCGTTTATGCCATAGGCTACCCCGTTCAAGAGTCCATCAACAGCTTTCCTGCAGAGGCTATCGCTGGTACTGTGGCGACCGTTCTTGGTCTGCTAGTTATTGCAGGTCTCGCATTGTTTTTGCACAAACGGAAGCAGAAGCGGGAGTTCCTCACCCTGGGAAACGAGCTGAACGACCTCTACGGTTCCAAACCAGTTTCGGTACCTGCAAATACATCGCGACCCGGAGTACAGGCCAGTGGATCAAGCAGTTTCCAGGACGACAGGACCATTGTCGAAGACGGGGCATATTCGCGCAAGTCGAAGGAATCGAACCGGAGCCAGCCACAACGCTCGCCCTTTGACGGACACCAATTCGTTGTCCCACCGGTCAACCTCCCCGAGCAGGATGCCCTGAAGAAAACTTCAACCCATGAACAGCAACCGAAGCAACAGGGCTCGAGCCCAGAGTTCAAGCTGCGAGTCCAAGAGCCCGACCAACAAGCCACCAAGCATGAACAAGGACACTCGCACATGAATGCCAGCGAGCACGATCTTCCCACTCCCTCGCCGTTCGAACTGGACAAGCCGCAGCTGCCTGCACTCTCACAGCAAGAGGCACTCAACGCAGACGACATTGTCAACACGAGCAACTCCGCGGATGACACGTTTACTTCCACTCACAACAGCTACCACTCCGGTTTTCTTCAAAGTCCGACTGTTGAAACGGCCCGTCCAGAACGTCTTTCACGTATCTATGGAAAGGCCCAACAGATCAGTATCAAAAGAAAAGCACCCAGCAACACGGACGACCTGAAAGATGATAGCAAGTCTTCGTCAGGAGAGGAAGGGAAGTGAACACCGCCCGTTTCCCTTCGTCTTAGGGAGAACGGAAAAGGGAGAAATGAATGGGTGCGGGTGGTAGAAGATCATTCTGTGAATCACTGTTTAACAATGAGGTATCAGATGACGCAAGCTATGTCCTATATGGCGCAGTCGTACATCTGGGTAGGTGAGACCTGAAGGAACAACAGGAGGGCTTTATCGGTCCGTGTTCAAGACCGGGGTAATCCGGGGTTCGTTCGGTCAGCAAGATCACAAGTGGAACTGAACCGGGGAACCGCCATATGGTGATGTCAATACACCGCAAACATTTGTGTGCTTACTGTTACTTAGTGTTAGACAAACGGGACCGCTGTGAACACATGTTACCAGTAACTGCGCGTCTTTTTAATGAGAACTTAGAAACAGTCGATTCATTCAGTTGTGGAACCAGCCCTCATGCCTTTCATATCTAGTACGACGATCAAACATCTTCAGCGCCTCCTTTCCAGGAACAGAAAGTGGTCAGACACTATGACTGCTTCTGTACAACAACCGAGAAACAGACGGTTGCTGGCATGCCAAAACTAACCTTCACCGTTCCCAATGCAATATCGACTTTATATGTTTTCAATGATTAGTCTCCGTCTCCCTAAATCCTCCAGAGATACCTTATCCGACTTTCCCTCTTACGGTCTTACCTGCTTTTCACAACGACATCAGGCACACAACGGCCCATGGCATCCCAACCCAGCGTAAATTGTACCAACCTCCAACACGAGACAAAAGCAGGTAGTGTTGAGTGCACAGGTACACAGGTACACAGGTGCACAATTGTAAGACGGCAGTTCTAGACCCTTTCCTCCATTCCGGACTACCGAAAGCCGTGTCACCACGCTAATACCAAACATCTAGAACAAGCCAATTGCCTCACATCTGACTTTCATGCACTGTGACGTGCGGAGGGTTCAAGGAGGCCTGCCTGCCAGCTCAGCTTCCGGTTTGGTCGAAAGCTTGTTTCTTGGTATGGTAGTTGATGTGCAAAGAGGCTCTCGGTGGGAGCCGCAGATGGGTAGGATTGGGAGGATAGCTGCCCGAGTTGGGCTGCAGGTACATAAAAGCCACTGCCAGGTCTCGAACAGTCGCTTGGGTTGATGGAGGGGGGAAGAAGGGTACGTACGCTGTTTTTGACTGTCATACATCGCGATATTCTTTACGAAGCTGATAATAACTTGATAATATCCGACTGTAACTCGGACACAACTTATTGATGACTTGGTAAAACCAATAACCCAGCTATTACTCCTTACTGCCACTTATCATCCGTTAACCAGCTCTCAACTAAACTTTTACCTTTGCTAAACCACACGAAACATCATCATCATCACTTTCAGAAATATTCACTTGAGATCCTTGACCGGCACTTTGTTCGGCCAAACCCATTCTCAAAGATGCCTAGTCTCACAAGACGATCAAGCGATTCCTGTCCTCCTGATCCTGCCCGCTATCCTCGTTCGGAGAGGAACACTCGACAGGATGACGCGAAGAGTCACCGCAGTGACCGACGACAGTCTTCCCCAGCATTGACACATCGTCGAAGGAAGAGTCGAAGAAGTACATCAATCACGAGCGACGACAACCGCTCACGCATCTCAACCATTGACGAAGACCACAAAGATGACCCGGAATCGGACTACTACCCGCGGGATGTTTACTACCTCAGTCATCCTCCTGGTTCCAACCATGGCAAAGATGAAGAAGAAAAGAGTGAATGGGACTTGGACCTGGAAGCTGGGGCTGCCACACCAATGAATCACAGAAATGGGTACGGTGATGATGATGCACACTCTACTCGTTCACGAGGCAGAATACCACGACCATCAACCATTGTACGGCGACCATCCACCATCGGCACTCTCTCACCTCGTACCCGATCTCCCATCGACCAAAGCCGTCGACAGTCAATGCGACCAGACAACCTCTATGTCTACGGGTCAGATCATCACCGAAGAGATTCCGTACGATCAAGACCAAGGCGGGAACCACACCACCACGTGGTATCAGACTCTGAAACAGCTGTCTTTCCTCGCACCCGTCGTCATCGTCAACATGTCAACCGCTCACCTACACCCCCACACAGAGGCTTAGTTGCCTATGACCATAGCCATGAATACCCTCGTCCACGTCCTCGATCTAGCACACAACCCTTCCACTACCCCAACTACACCGACGACGACGAGCGGGAAGACACCTACCACAGAAACAACAATAACAACAGTAACAACCCCCGTCGCTACCACCGCCGTCGCGCATACTCCAACCCCCCTATTCCTTCCCGTCACCCTCACCGTACCCAATCCCGCCGCCGCCCCTCCCTCTCCTCAACCCTCAACTTCACAAAAGACCTCAAAGACCTCAAATACTCCCCCAAAGCCGCCTCCCTCCTCAAAGCCGCCTCGCGCGCCCTCGAAGCTGGCGCCGCCACCGCCCTCAAGCTGCGCAAGGACTCACCCTCCACTCCCCTCTTTTCCGCGGCCTCCGGCTCGAAAATCGCCGCAGCAGCGCTCGGCGCCGCGGTCGTGGACGGACTGATGGAGCATGAACATCAGCGACATCCGAAGCTAATGCGGAAGGGGGGACTGAGACATCAGATGGTTAAGCAGGTGGTGCAGAGGGGGGTGGCGGGGTTGGTGGGAGGGATGATTGAGGAAGGGTTGACTGGTGGTGGTGGTGGTGACTGTGGTGGTGACCGTGGGAAGGAGGAAGAAGGGAAAAAAGGGAGGCGCCCCGGGAAGAAGGAAAGTGTCAAGAGGGTTGTTAAGGGGGCGGTTATGGATTATGAGAAGTGGGAAAAGGGGAAGGGCGGCGATGATGGTGGTGGTAACGGAAGTGGGAAGGAGGAGAAGGGGGGAAGGGGGAGGAGGGGCAGTGAGAGGGAGAGGGAGAGGGAAAGGGAAAGAGATACTGATGGAGAGGGAAGAAGAAGGGAAAGAAAGAGGGAGAGAGAGAGGGAGAGGGGAAGGGAGGGAAGTGTTCGTAGCAGAAGAAGGTAGGAGTGATTGTCAGTATTTGGTGGTTTGATATCTTCGCGAGTTGTAAGATGATGTCGGTGGTACCTAGCTAAAGAAACTGCTTTGAACAAAGACTCCGAAGAACAACAAATAAGTCGGTTTCCGATCGGGCGGTTAGAGAGTGAGATGTGATTCCGATCGGGAAGCTTGCCGATCAACATACCCGTGAACAAACAAAAATGCGGAATATGACGAGCCGAAGGGTTATAGTACCCGAAACATGTGAAAAGAGTTTTTATGACATGGGTTTTTGGGCATTGAAGTGTCTGGAACAAAGCTTTTGAAGAAATAACAACATCACGGATTTCGACTTTTCCGGTCAGCTCAATGTCAACATATCAAATATGTGATCATGGTTACACAACATTGAGCTACATCTCCGTAGCCTCCTGATATCCTCCGCTAAACTAACAATAACATGCACAGTCCAACCTTAGCACCGAGCCTGGCATGTGAAGACTGCATGGAATGGCATGAAGCAAGAACAATCATGTGCGTATACATATGCAATAGTTATTGGTGGCTTTTTCGTATCCAGCTGAAGTACCTCATATCAAAGTCACATCTGAGACAAAATCAATAAACAACTTTTGTAGCCGACGAATCGGATTGACTCAAAAATGCGGGATAGACAAGGTTGATGCAAAAGGATAACAAACTTTAAAGTATCTTCGTCCCCCATTTTCAAACCAAGACTTCAACGTGACGACAAATCGAAAAAAAGAAAGATGCACAGAAGGCGCCATTGACACTCGACAATATCTCCTCGGCCTGGACCAACAGCCGGACCTTCTACACCCATTCAGCTCGGAAACCGTTTCCCAGGCGAGGCACCAATCTCACGCTCGCCCGTCCGTCGGACTTCCTCCAACGGATTCCCGGAGAACCGAGTTTTGATAAGCCGAAACGTGGACTCTGGACTGCAGCCCCCAAAGAAGAAAATAACAAAGGGTAGATGATGCCTTCCAGCCAAAACGTACAAAACATTGAGTGCTCTTGGCCATGGTTACCAAAAATAGCTTGAGAGATAATTGTTGTTCTTGATTTCTCTTCTTTTTACTTGAAGTTCCAACGAAAAACTGCATCATCTGTTGTGTTTTTATATTTCCTTCGTCCATATCCCACAACACAACTTGACCTCGACTTAGCAGCAATACAAAGATCGAAGTTACCTCTATACAACCAAACACACCAAGACTTAGACAGCAAGCAATTGCATTTTCGCAACCATGGGTTCCTCAATGCAAGATACGAAGCCCAAGATGACCCGGGTCCTAGCCCTCCACGGCTACGGCACCAGCGGTGAAATCTTTCGATCACAAACCGGTAAGTTCGTTTTCATCTCTTCACCCCCTTTCTTTCATTATTCCATCCGTCTATCCACCACCTTACCTTACCTTGCCTTACTGACACTCAACTAAATCAAACCCAACAACAGCCGCATTCCGCCTCAAACTCCCCAAAAACTCATACACCTTCACCTTCCCCAACGCGCCTCTGCCCTCGGCGCCCACCGTCGGCGTTGATTCGATATGGAACCAAACCCCCCAAATTCTACGCCTGGTGGCCTGCCCAATCGTCCAACACTTCGGAAATCCGCTCCGCGCACGACCAACTCGACCAACACCTATTTGAGTCAGGGCCCTACGACATAGTCATGGGTTTTTCCCAAGGTTGTTCCCTCCTCATGTCCTACATCCTGTACCGCTACCAGGAACACGTCACCAACCCGCAAGTCGCCGATACAACAAAATTCGAGCTGCCGTTCAAGGGCGTCATGTTCATCTGTGGCGGGCCCTCGCTGCCCGTGCTGCAAGATCTCGGCGTTCCCGTGAGCGAAAAAGCGTGGGAGGTGAATAATAAGACGGCGGAGTTGTTGCATAAGCGCACAGAGAAACTCAAGTATAAGGCGGATAATCCTGATACGATTAAGAGGGGGGAGGGGCTGTGGGATGAGGTTGGGGATTTGGTTCATGATCCTACTAGCAAGAAACATTTGAGAGACCTAAAAGATGTGTTTGGATTGGATTTTACGGATGAGAGGATGAGGAAGGCGGTGGGGGATCTGGGACAGATCGTGCCGACTGTGCATGTGTATGGGGCCAAGGATCCCAGGTGGCCGGCGAGTGTACAGCTGGCGCAGCTGTTTGAGGGAGGCTTGAATGAGAGGTTTGATCATAGCGGGGGGCATGAGTTGCCGAGGACGACGGAGTGTTCGATGAAGGTGGCGGAGTTGATGGAGAAGTTGAGGAGGAGGGTGGAGGGTTTGGATGATGGGGAGGAGTTGAGAAATTAGGTTGATGTTTTGTTTGGTTTTTTTTCTTGTTGTTTTGTACACTTATGAAGGAAGTGAAAAGGAGGATGCTCGGGATGGTGGAAGGTGGAAAGGACTACTGTTGGACAAGAAACGAAGAGGGAAAAGCATGTCATTTTATAGACAGGGAGACACAACTTCTAGTTAGCATGATGGCATAAAATGACCTTGTATCATATTCCTCACGACTCCCTTTGCTTTGTTTCTTCACCATATTCCATGTTGTCTATTCAAAGGACCTTTTAAAACTTCAACCCAGTGCCTCTACCTCGATATAACGTCTAACTCCGGCCATGCCCATCCATGACCTTTTCAAGCCCGACATTTTTTCCTGTCCATGCCATTCTCTACCAGAGCCCAAAGTCTATGTAGTTCACCGCCCATACCCTAAACAGTAAGATTACCATGCAGGCCAAAAAATTATGCAAAAAAATCTTTCAAGTCCATGATATCTATACTCTGTCCCATGCTCTCGACTTTCTTTCAGAGGTATTTGTACAAGGTATATGTCTGTTTTATACAACACGTTTCGACATGAGCTGGTCCGCAAACGCCTGCTCTCTCTTCGCCGTCGCCCTCATTTCCTCCTCCGTCATCTCTGACCAATTCTCCTCCCCATCGTCATAATCATCCCATCCTTCTTCCGGCGTCAGCACGTCCTCGGTCTCATTGAAGATGCTTTTCTCCAACTCCGAGTCCGCCCTGATCATGGTCTTGACAGCCTTGATGGTAAGAGGACACTCCGCATTCACCCACTCCAGCTGGTTGGCCGCCTCCTTCTGCCAGTTGGCCAGGTTCTCCAAATCCATGTACTTCTTGGCCATGATGATCAGCGTGTGTGAGATGGGTCTCGGGCGCTGCGGGAACGAGCCGAGACGACGGAGCTCGAGCGGCAGCTGGTTCTTGACGGCGGACCGCGCGCGCACCCGGTACCAGCCCGTCCAGTTGGGCATGAGACGGGCCTCGCACTCGCCAAAGGCCTCACGGAAGCGGTTCATGCGCGCAAGCGATTGCACGTAGTAGTTCCAGTTCTTGCTGTCGAGCTCGAAGCCGCGGCTGCGCACGTCCCTGACGAACTCCATCAGCCCGTCGGCGTCGTTCCCGTCGTGGAAGACGCGCTGCATCGTCTTGATGGGATCGCACAGGATCCACTTGTAGGGACCGACAAGATGCTGAGCTGGGGTTTCCGCGTCCTCGCCGGCACCCGTCTCCCGTGGTGGCTCCTCGGCGACTTCACCGAAGGCCTGTAGTGTCGTCTTCCTGAGAATATGGTTCCAGATCTCTCTGACCCGGTCGAACTTGCGTTCATGGTAGTCGGCAAGCATCATGTTGTTGAGCAGGCGGATGGGCATGTTGGTAGGCTCCTTTGCAGACGGGAACTGGGTGGTGTACAGCTCCATGATCTCTTCCAGGGTGCCAAAATCCCGGATCTGCGTCAAGATGAACAGGATGTGGGCAAACTGGTTGACCACAGGGCGAGGAGCCTCATGATGACCCTTTCCAGTCTTTTGCAGGGTCTGCTTGAACAAGTTGATGGCCTTGGTAATGTAGTACTTTTGGTCCTTCTGCCACCTTTGGTGACCGGGGAGCTGTTGCCACCTACCCAAAGCGTCAATGACACGAGTGGTCCGCTCGGCCATCTCGGGTTCTTGGCGCTTGGACAAGATCTCGTTGAGTTTGAGGGCCATGTGTGGTTCACGACTGTGAATGAAGGACGCCATAAGGAGAACGTAGTGTTCAGGTGCGGGCTTGAAAAGGTTGTCCTTCTCGGAAGCTCGTAAAAGGTTCAGAGCGTGATGCGACTGTCTGCAGTACATTAAGCCGTACAAGAGATGGCTATAGGTCTCGTTGTCGCTGGGAATCTTGTTCTCATGCATGTATTCCACAAGGTTGTACAACCCCTTGAGATCTCGCTTCCTGGCGTGGTGATTAAGAAGGGTGTTGAAGAGAACGGTGTACTTGCCGGGAAGTGTGCCCTTCTTCACCGTCTGCTTGACAATGACCTCGGCCTCACGGAACCGGTCATTCTGACAGTAAGCTTCAATCAAGCTGTCCACCATTCCCACATCAGGCTTGATGCCGTCGGCCTTTGCGGCGTTGAAGAGCACCAGAGCAAACGAGAGATCACCACGCACAGCGGCCATCCCCATCACAGTTCCATAGGAATATGAATCTGGCTTTCCAACCTCATCCAAACGCTCAAAGGTCTCGAGACAGCCACTGTAATCCGATGCTTTTGCGTAAGCATTGAGCAGGATGTTCCAATGAACAGTCTTTGGTTTGCCCATGCTCGTCTGTTCCAAACAGTTTTCCAGCACCTTGCGAGCCGCTCCAGGGTTTCCGTTGCGCGCGTGCACGTGCATCAGACTGGAGATGAGTGACATATCGCGCACAGCTTCTGCTGGAAGGTGCTTACGGTACTCGTTAGCCAGACGGGTTACCGACTTGGTATCACCACGGCCAGCATAGAATGCCAGGAACTTTTGATAAACTCGCTTCTCAAGGGCGTCGTAGCGGTTGTACCAGTCCTTCAGAACGAGCTCCATGCCGGCCGCATCGGTAGGATAAAATATGTCCAGCATGGCGCGCAACACCCAAATGCGAACCTCGGCCTTGGGCAGTTGGCGGTACTTCTTGTAGGCTTCCGCCGCAGTTCTGGTCTTGCCCTGTTCGACAGCCAGCTTGATGAAAGCCTCGTACGCTAATGGATCCCCAGCATGGCGAAGGAGGACAACTGCGTCTGTGGGCGAGAATAAGCGTAGTGATTTGGTGGCAAGAACTCTGACAAAATCTGCGATCGGCGTATCGGCTGCAAGTGTTGGGTTGGGCGTGGGCTCTGGCTCGGCTGGAGTCTTTATTTTGGCCGACTTGTTCTTGGAGGGCTTCTTGGCCTTCGTCGCTGGCACCTTGGGCGCAACAAATTCGACAAACTCGGCCAGCTTATCCTGGAAGCCGGGAACGGTAGCCAGCGCCTGGAACTCAACAGTAAGGTTTTCAGAGTCCTTAAAGCTGGTAAACGACTTCCAAATATCCAAAGCCAGCTGCCACGAAGAGGTGGTGAATGCGTGTGCCATGATATCGTCAAGTCCTTGGTGAAGCCCTTTTCTCTTGAGAGCGTCAGAAAATAGTGCCTTTGCATTGGCCACATCATCCAAGACAAGTTCGGCCTTGATAGCGGCCTTGATTATGGATTCCGTCCACCGCTTGGCCGGAACCGTGGCAAACAACTCGCGGATCCTCCAAGCATCGACCGATCTACCGGACTGCGCAAAGTTGGCCATCACCTCGCCCTTGAATTCCTCCTGCTCTTTGGGCTGAAGCTTGTTGTATTCCGTCCATATCTGCTCGTGCATGGGGCCGAACTCTGATGGTTCGAGAAGCTCCCGCAGTGTTCGAGGGCCGGATTTCTTGGAAACCTTTTGAGGTCTCCTGTCTTGTGTCACACCACTCTCCTGCTCATTCCAGTACTGTTCGAAAAGGTCGGCATTCATGAACGAGTCGTCCTCTAGCGGTTCCTCGTGCGGGTTTTGCGCAGCACCGGAGCTGTTATTGGGCGCAGAACTGTATAATCGCGTCGCATTCCTGCGAGTATTGTGCGCCGGTTCGAGAGATGGTAGATGGATAGGGAGGATCTTTCGGAGGAGGGCGGCCGTTCCACTTGGGTATAGGAAGTCGAGCAAGAACATGGACGCCTTCATCGGCTCTATCCTGTTTTCTTGCCTCGTCGTCTGTGGGTTACTCAGTGTCTGCGTCGGTGTCGGTGCCGCTGTCGTGTCTCGCAGGAGGGCCTGGTAGGCATCGAGGAGCTCAAGGTCGGAGGCGCCATGTTGCCAAAAGGCAGTGTGTAGTTGTCGCTGGCTCTTCAACGAGGTTCTGGCGACGGGGAGAACTCTCTGGAGGCTGCATGTTTCGAGGCTCGCCGCCGTCCTCTCCAGCATCGCGTTGGAATTCGGAGGCCCAGCCAGCTGGCGTAGTTAACGTGTGAGTCGTGGGTGTAGATCGTTCTCTCTCGGGCATGTTCCGCTCTCGTTTCGTTTGTTTCTCGCTCGTCTCGGCTTGTCTTCCTGTAATGATGTCCAACTGGGATTTGACCTTAGGGGTTCCGGAACAGAGTATTTGGGCGTTTAGCAGGTCGGAATAGCTCCGGGAAAGTTGGGTCGTATTCTCGAGACCAGAATAGGTAGCTTCCGAATCGGGGTAAGAGAAAACAACGCTGTCGGGTTGCTCGGTCGCAATTCGCGGGACTAACAGCAAAAAAATACCTTGAAAGAAGGACAAGACTTTTGGCTGTCGCAGCACCCAGCCAAAAATTTTGAGCGCGATTCGACCAATTCACAGCGCGAAGTGGGGCTCCCCTACGACATGGCCGCCCAGCCCGCCCACGCCGTCCAAAAGAGCTCCCGTCCTAGCAACGCCCCCGGGCAGAGACGGCGTGTGAGCTCTCCCGGCCCGGTGGAGCCCCCTATCTCAGATCTCATCGGGGTTGCGAATCACTGAAATCGGACTGCTGCCAGCTGTTCCATGCTGGCCCGACGCCCGGAGCTGGGAGAGAAAGAGCAGCCGTGCCACTGCTGCTGCACCTTGGCTTCTTCCTCACATTGCGGGGCAATTGGGGACAACAAAAGTGACACAGTGCTCCATGAGAGAGCTGCCCACGCCCCACACTTTCCAGGTTCAACCTCCCGTCCACGTCGAGACTCGAGCCGCCAAACATACAAGGAGGTCGTCTGTAGTATCACAAACCCTGCCGCCAGTCAACACCTCGAACTCTCTACAATACCGCGGTATTGACCGAAGCTACCTGCCCTACACTATATTGCGCAACGGGTGCTTCAATAATTCCTTTCTATAGGACCCCCTAGTTGCGACCGGAGCGCACCACCTAATCACCCACATACACACACACACACATACCCAACCTCAACACCATGGATATCACAAAGTTTGTGGTGTCCCACCGGGAGAATGCCCTCCTTTACGGCGACTATTCGACATACCGCGCCCAGCTCTCCAGGAAGCTTCTCAACTCCCGCAAGAAGCTCAACATTGCGACCAAGAGCCGAGGCAAATTCCACCCCAAGGCCCAGATCACCGCTGAGCAGATCTCGGAAAACCATGAGTACGAATCCCATCCAGTGCTTGCCATGGGTGGCTCAACGCCTGTTGGCTATCCTGCTAAGATTATGTCTCTCATAGATACCTCCACCTCGCGCTTCTCGCCTCCGAGCGCACATGGGCTCATGCCATGTCCATGAAGGCTTCGCATGCTGCTGATACCAAGGGCATGACCAGCAAAACCAGGTCACACATCGTTTCCAGACTCGAAAAGGGTGCCCGCACCGCCGAGAAGCTCGCAGATGCGCTTTCCCAGGATGCAGTCAGCGGCGCCAACCCCAACGACATCCTCGAAGCTCGCGCCTACGCCGCCTTGCTCAGGGGTGCCGCCAACTTCGAGAAGCAGAGCTGGGAGGACTGTATCGTCAGCTACGCCGTTGCCCGCATGATCTACAGTGCTCTCTCGACCTCCATCAAGGGCGACATCTACAAGGACCTCCTCACCGATACCATTGACCCCTCGATCCGATATGCTGCGTACCAGGCCAAGATTCCTCGCACCCAACCGATTCCCTCGATCGCCAAAAAGGCATTCGCTAAAGCCGACGATGACTTGGTGGAGCGTGTCAAGGCTGTCAACCCTAGTGTTTTGGAGCAGGGCGATGTGGCAATGACTGGAGTTACTGGTGCCGAGGGCGCACCGACTACTATCACATGGCGCTCCAGGGAGGTTAAGATCGAGGACGCTTCGATTGCCGTCGCCTGGGCTTCGGTACAAACCGCAAAGGCCAAGCTGAACGAGAGGCTATCCATTGCCAACGCGCTGGCCCCCAAGGACAAGGCCGCTGCCTACGACGACATTTTGGCCGCGACCCAGGATGCTGTCGATGCGACAAAGCAGGCCATTGATGAGCTCCGGGGAGAGGGCGTCACTCAGAGCGACCCTCGCATGCAGAGCCTGCAGATCACAAGGACGGCCGTCAACTTTGAGATGATCAGCTGGCGAATTGGCCGCAACAGGGTGCTCGCTGGCGAGCTTGACGGTGCGCGCGCCACTTTCGAGGATCTGTCCAAGAGGAAAAAGAAGGCCCAGGAGGCTGAGCAGGCGTCTGAGAGGCCCAAGGAGGAAGCTCCCGGCCGTCAGATTGCCAAGCTAAAAGAGAAGGTAGTTTTGTATGACGGCACGCTTCAGAGTCTGGAGACCATCACAGAACTGCCTGGTGTTGCGAACGACCAGGAGCTCTCCACGCGTCTGCAGGCTACTTCGCAATACTTTACTGCTCTCAAGTACGTATTCCCTGCACTGTCTTGACTTGACTAGTTTTTTGGCTAACCTTCAAAACCCAGGTCCCTAGCAATCGCCCGCTCCCACCTCCTAGCCCACAACGATACCAATGCTCTCGCTCTCGTCCGCCACGCTCTCACCCAAACCGAATCCGCCCTGCCTATCCTTTCCTCTTCTTCTGAAGAATCCTCGCCAGCCCGCAACATCCTCGTCTCGGCCGACGACATCCAAACCCTGCACTCCCTCCTCAACGGCGAACTCCAGCGTGCCCGCGCCCTGGTGGAAATTAGCCAGCACAACAAGAACAAGAAGCCCAGCACCACTACTCCCTTGGGCACCAAACCCCTCATCGGCCAACTAGCCAACTACCCCTCCAGCGGCCAGGTTAACCTGGAGAACATTGTCGTGTACCCGCCTAAGCTGGAGGCGATCCCTGTCAAGCCCATCTTTTTGGATGTGGCATGGAATTATATCGATTACCCCGAGAAGCAGCAGCAGCAAGCTCCCAAGGTTGAGCAGCAGCAGCAGCAGCAGCAGAGGACTGAAGAGGTGCAGGAGGAGAAGCCGAAGAAGAGGGGCTGGTTTGGGTTTGGTCGGTAAATGTGTGTTACACGAGATTGTGCAACGTATGTATATGTCAAGAGATATTATCTGGTTGGATGGTTGGTTAAAAAAATATAATGATGGTTATTTGAGGAAATAAAGCCTTTCGTTGGATGTGAGCTCTAGATTGGTATTCCAGCACAGAGAGTGACACACTAAGTATGATCTGATAAGCCTTGCTCACTTGTTGGGGTTCGGTACCCTTTGTGTTCATGAGTATCTACCATATCTGCCAGTCTATCCCAGCAAAACCAGGTATGTATGTATGTATGTATATTTTCTGTTTGTTGCTATGATATGATAGACTTGTAGGAAAACGTCTTATGCGAAACACCGAATTTTTTGTTTACCTTCTCTCGCTACTCGACCTTATCGTTCACCTGGTGCGGTGACAAGTTATCAGCTCAGCTCTCCATGTTGGCATGGCATGACGTGTATTACCGGTCACGAAGGCGTATTTCTTCCCTCATTTTGACTCAATCTTCAACAACGCAACAGACAGTTCACGCGGACTTCCTTCCCTCTTTGTTGTTAGTGTCTTTGGCAGGCTCGTTTCCTCGCCTGGGAAGTTCCCTTTGTATGCGTAACGTCGAAGTGAGCTGCCCAAGGCTTGTGGGTAGGTTCCTTTGAGCCGTTCGTTGCCCTGTGGTTGTGTTGTGTTGAGATGACTCCACCCAGTTCATTGTGTACAAGTAGAGAGGTCCGATAGCGGCTTGAGCGGTTTCCTTTTCCTGTCATCATAATAAAATTCGGTGAGAGATATTAGATAGTCAGCATATTACTATCACAACATAAGCACACATATTAACAGAGACGATGGGAGGGATCGAGTATGTTTTCCAAACGCTTTGCTATTCAAATTTCATTTCAATCATGAGGGGAGAAAGTGATTATGTCGAACTTCGTTGTCCGTCGTGTGTGTGGTGCATCGTGTACAATGAACATGATATATATACATACGCGCACCCTTGACTCCCACCGATTTCCAGCACCTGCTGCGTATCCTGCCCGTTGCCCCATGCAGAAAAACCGACCCATTTTGCATCTCATCTCATCACTTTCGTTTTGGATGGAGAGAAAGATATAGTGAAAATAGATCAAAGATTTTTATTTGTAACCCCAGAAAACGCAGGAAGTTTTGATGCTCAATAACGCCTTCCGCCCTCTGCGGTATTAAACACAAGATCCAGCATGATAGACCTCAAAGAGAAACATGACATATGAGTACAAGGGAGAAATACACAGTGGAGATCATTCCGCTCCAACCAAGCTTTACTTAGACACCGGGGAGAAAGAAGTATGTGGGTATAGTGACAAAACGATGAAAAGGAAAACCTAAAACTGGTGGGCTTCAGATTTACTCCTTCTTCTCGCCCTCAGTGTTCTGCTGCTGCTGCTGCTCGCCAGACTCAGCACGGGCCTTGTGCATCTTGTCGAAGAGGTTCAAGCTGGCAACCTGGAGGTCGTCGATCTTCTCCTTGAGGGCATCGGCAGAGATGGTCTGCTCGCCAGACTGGCTCTTGGCGATGAACTCGCGGAGGCTGGTGATCTTCTCACGGATGGCATCAGCCTCGGCCTTGTCGAGACGGTCAGCGTACTCGTTGAGAGCCTTCTCGGTGTCGTTAAGGACACCATCGGCCTTGTTGGCGGACTCGATGGCAGCCTTGCGCTCCTTGTCCTGCTCGGCGTATTTCTCGGAGTCCTCAACCATCTGCTGGATCTCAGACTCGGAGAGACCGGAGCCGGAGGCAATGGTGATGGACTGATCCTTGTTGGTGGACTTGTCCTTGGCGTGGACGTGGACAATGGAATCGGCGTCAATGTCGAAGGTGACCTCGATCTGGGGAACACCACGGTGGGCAGGGGGAATACCGACGAGCTGGAAGTTGCCGAGCATCTTGTTGTCCTTGACGAGCTCACGCTCACCCTGGAAGACCTTGATCTCGACGGCAGTCTGGAAGTCGGCAGCGGTGGAGAAGACCTGGGACTTCTTGGTGGGGATGGTGGTGTTGCGGTTGATCAGGCGAGTGAAGACACCGCCGAGGGTCTCGATACCGAGGGAGAGGGGAGTGACATCGAGGAGGAGAAGGTCCTTGACCTCACCGGAGAGGACGGCACCCTGAATGGCAGCGCCGATGGCGACAGCCTCATCAGGGTTGACGGACTTGGCGGGGTCACGGCCGAAGATGGACTTGACGGACTCGGCAACCTTGGGCATGCGAGTCATACCACCGACGAGGATGACTTCCTGGATGTCCTTGGCGGCAAGGTTGGCATCCTTGAGAGCCTTGCGGACGGGCTCAATGGTGCGCTGGATGAGGGGATCAACCATGGCCTCGAGCTGGGCACGGGTGAGCTTCTGGTTGATGTGCTTGGGGCCGGAAGCGTCGGCAGTGATGAAGGGAAGGTTGATGTCGGTCTGGAGGGAAGAAGAAAGCTCGATCTTGGCCTTCTCAGCGGCCTCACGGATACGCTGGATGGCCATGCGGTCACCAGAGAGATCGATGGAGGAGTCCTTCTTGAACTGCTGGACGAGGTGGCGGACGAGGTGGATATCGAAATCCTCACCACCGAGATGGGTATCACCGTTGGTGGACTTGACCTCGAAGACACCGTTCTGGATCTCGAGGACGGAGATATCGAAGGTACCGCCACCAAGATCGTAGACGGCGACAATGCGGTCCTGCTCCTTCTCGAGACCGTAGGCAAGAGCGGCGGCAGTGGGCTCGTTAACGACACGGAGGACGTTGAGGCCGGCAATCTGACCAGCATCCTTGGTGGCCTGACGCTGAGAGTCGTTGAAGTAGGCGGGGACGGTAACGACGGCGTTCTTGACGGGCTTGCTGAGGAAAGCCTCGGCGGTCTCCTTCATCTTGTTGAGGACGAAGCCACCAACCTGGGAAGGAGAGTACTTCTGGCCACGGGCCTCAACCCAGGCATCGCCGTTGGAGTGCTGGACGATCTTGTAGGGAACCTCCTTGATGTCGCGCTGGACCTCGGCGTCGGTGAACTTGCGGCCGATGAGACGCTTGGTGGCGAAGAGGGTGTTCTCGGGGTTGACGACAGCCTGACGCTTAGCGGCAACACCAACAAGGCGCTCACCATCCTCAGCGAAGGCGACGACGGAGGGAGTGGTACGGGCACCCTCGGAGTTCTCAATGATGCGGGGGACCTTGCCCTCCATGATGGCAACGGCGGAGTTGGTGGTACCTGTGGGTGGGAAGACTTGAGTTAGCCGTTGTTGTCGAGTATATACCTCTCTCATGATGCTAACATACCAAGATCGATACCGATGACGGCACCAGTGACCTTTCCGTCTGTTCCCGTTGACTCGAAGCGCGCGAAGGCGGGGGTCATGGGCTTCCTGAGCATGCCCGCGGCGCGGGTAGCGATGGAGGCCTTGGGCAGCTGTGGTGAGAGGAGGATGTGTCAGCCATTGTTTGTTCACGTCAATATGGAACGCGCCATTATCGGGACTCAAAGTGAGGGGAAAGTAGAAGCAAGCGTTGGTAGGATAAGTGTAAGCTCGGTGGTATATACTTACAGCCCTGGTAAGCCTTGTGGACATCATCTTGTATGTGACTCTAAATTAAAAACGAAAAATAACCCCTTGGAACAAAACAGACAGGGCTGGGAATCAACAGAAAGCAGACGGAAGAAAGGTGATGGTGGAGGGAGGAGAGGGTGGTTATGAATGAGTGATTCGTGAACGGAGAGCGGAGGCCGAGGAGGAGCTGGTCAAGCTCTTTTGTACTGCGAGGGAAAAAATTCACAACCCGGTCATCGAAGGCGTTGGAAATTTTGCTCGGCTGCTCTCAGCGCCCACACGGCCCAGTGACTGGATCAACGACTCCAGCGGGACCTCCAGTGGCACCGCGGGGGGCCACTTTCCACCCACTGAGAGCAGCCGCATGCACGGTAAGTGGGGCGCCGAGCAAGCTCCGCACGAGCCACTTCCTCAAGGCACTTGGCGGACGAAGGCGGGAGGCCTGGGAAGTGAACTCTTCCTCCTTCGACCCGTTTCCTCCGGCCACCTCACACCGAGAACTCCGAGCGGCCCCCTCGACCCGGACTCGACGACCACCCTCGAGACAGCGAAGCGAGGCAAGGCGAGAGATCCAAAACATCCGGGAAGCCCATTTCCGTTCTGAACTCTGCGACTGCACGTGACTCCACTTTGCCATCCAGGGACCCTTTGTTGTTTTCTACATGTTGCACAAAGCGCAACCGATCCCTGCCTGGACAGCCTGGGGTCCTGTTCGGCCTGGACTTTTTTTGGTGGCAGCTGGGTGACCGGCTGTGGTTTGTCAATGAGAATGGCCTGAATGGGTGAGGGGAGGGGAAGGCGGGCTCGGGCGGGTAATGCGTAACGATGGGCTGTGACGGCATCGGGGGAGTGGATGCGCTGCTGGAATCGGCCTGTTACTACGGTTACGTATTGCGCTACTTTGAGAGGTATTTAAAACAACAACCTAGCGAGGTTGTCAGAGGCATATATCTTGATGCTTCTCTCCAATGTTCGAGATGAAATCGCATGCTGTAGATCTTGTTTGTTTCTGAGACTATTCGTTATATGCCAAATCACCTCAGTCGTCGCGCGCATCCATGGATCGAACAGTCAAACATCCACTCGTATGTATCCGATGATGTACCTCTCTGGCCATGGAGGTACTTGAAGAGTGGAGGAGGGGTTGAGGTACCTTGACTTATTTACAGCCTAGGTTTAACTCTTTTTCTCTGTAAGCTTACACTGACTACCCCTACTTCATCATCACCAAAATAAAAGACTCTTTCTCAAAAGTTTGACTCTTTTTGGATTCTTCAATTGCACGTCAGAAAGACTCGGCATGAGTTTACCCATTGGTCAAGGTGCTGTCTAAGTGGGTGGCGACCTCAATTGTTAATGGAAAGGGACTTTGACGCGGGTTTGCGACTACAGAAGCAATGACGAACAGGTCGGACGGGCATCTCCTATCATTCTCCTAGACAACTAACATCTTCACTTCCATTGACTTCCTAATTCCAACTCACCAGCTCTTTAACCATCCTGCATTGTAATCCAATCTAGGCACATCAACGTCTCTCTCTCTCTCTCCTTCTCTCATTGTACCCAATCCCACATCAAGATACAAAGATACCCCGACATTTCGCAATCCGACGACGCCTCCCATTCGAGTTTCCACGCGATCCTTCCAGCTGCTTCCTCCTCCTTTGACATCCCCTCCCTCGACGACAAACCCGATAACCACCGACAGCGCGGAATTGTGCATGGTCATCGCCAACTGGTCTGGAATTGCCCGGTTAAAATAAACCCGCCAAGACTTTCACACAATGACTGTCAAGGACGATGTGTAAGCTGATGCCGGACTTTATTCAACGAGCTACACCCGGTGCCCCCCTCCCATCATCCCCGACAATCGCCATCACTTTCGTACCTGGAATAGGTTCTTTTACTGATAGAGAGGATGTGATTTTCAAGTTACCATGCGACCGAAAACCTGATTCTGCCCAAGCCTCGACGCCGCTACCGCACCAGTGTCCATCCTAGGTACGTCCTGGGTTTCTCCCCATGGCGACACGACAACGTGGCACCCGGCAGCTAATATCAGATTTGTAGTCACTGGCAGTTGCGCTCCATGGTGGGCGTCGAGGGCAATGACATAGTCTATTTTCCCGGAGGAAGGGACAGCACCGAGGTCCAGAGACTAAACACCACGACCCAAGAGATCGAAACCATCAAGCGCCTTCCTTTCCAGCCTAGATGTCTGGTCGCACGGAATGGGTGGATCTGCTGTGGTGGCGAGACGGGCGAGTTTACGGCGATACATGTCCGCGAAAGAAGCCCTCAGAACGATGCCAACGCGCCGCTCAACACGGGTTCAGACGACCAGGTTCCCGGTCAGGAGCTGCTGGACGAACTCAGCCATGGCTTGGACGATGAGGATCCGGTAGCAGTCGCGCGGGCGCTAGCTCGAGAACATATCTTAATTGCTGCACGAGGCAATGCGAACAACGATAACAAGAACCTGTCTGTCACAAGCAAAAAGTTCGGCAAACAGCGGGTGAACTGCATTACTCTGTGGTTTCCACCGACCTTGGTACCGGCTGCGCCAGGCGCATACAACGAACCAATTGCCGTTCTTTCAAATAATGACAACTCGGTTGCTTGTGTCAGTTTGTGGGAAGAGGAGGCCTTGGATGAGATCGCATACCCAGACTGTGTCAACCGTGCTGTCATCTCCCCGGACGGCCGGCTCCTCATCGCCATAAGTGATGACCCTTACCTATACGTACACGAAAGGGTCGAGAAGGATGAACCGTGGACGAACAGTTACCGTCTGCACCGAACACACAAATGGGTCCTGCTGCGTAAAGTTCCTTTGAAAAGTCAAAGCAAAGATGATCGGTCTGAAAACAGGTATGTCCATCGCCTTCCGTTCGCATTTTGCCATGTTTCTGCAGTACTCTGACACCGTACTAGGGGAAGTTTTGCTGCGTGCTTTTCCAGTACAGGGAATTATCTGGCCATCGGGACTCAATATGGAATTATATCTGTGTTCGATGTTGCAGCCTTCTCCGTCTCTGGGTTAGATCCCCTCATAACGAGCTTCGGCTCGTCCAGGCCACATGCTGAGCTGGGCGCCATCCGCGACATGGCCTTTGCTCCGGGGTCTGCGGACCTCCTGGCATGGACCGAAGACCGCGGCCATGTTGGTGTTGCCGACCTCCGAACCGGCTTCATATCGCGGCAAATCCTGGATCTGGACCAACGAGACGACTACGACCACGTCATGATATCCGATAGAAGCGCTATCGACCCCCGCCTCCTCCTCCTCGCAGCAGCTTCCAGTGATGAACATGAGGTCTTAGCATCCGCTTCATCAACTCGCATCCTAGAAGCCCTCGAAGCTGCCGGTAGACGGCATCGCTCAAATAGAGAACATCGGGATTCGCTAGCGTCAGGTCCGTTCGCTCCTAATGAACTGGAGGTACTTGATGCGATGCGGGCAGAACGTAGAGAACGAGATGCCGCTAACTCAGGCGGAGGAGGAGGAACCGCGACCGGAAGGAGAACCAATACTTCGATCTGGCGTGATGATCCATCAACCCGCTCAGGTGGAGGAGCAGGAGCAGGAGACACCCAGCAATCTTCTGGGAGTAGCGAGCAGTCCTCCCGTGAGCGTGGAAGTGGTGACTTGAGAACCGCTCGCGACGCTAATAGGACACTATCTACCTACCGTGAGTACGCAGATGTCGTCACCGGGGTCCCTCGTCGCGCAGCTACATCGCTACGAACATCCGCCAGCACCGGCGCAGGTGCAACGGGTGGGGGTAGTACTTATCCCGACCGGAACATCCAGATGCGAGCAAACATACAGGCATTACGGGAAGCAGATGACCAAGCTACCGCCGCCGACCATCTTCGTATTCTCAGTTCCATTGCTAGATTAGGAGCAGGAGGAGAGCGAGGAGATCGAATCCACCCACCTAACCGGACCGCTGGCATCACCGGTACCACCACCAACAATAACCAAACGCAAACTGCATCAGACGTAGCAGCAGAGAGGCGAGCCCTCACCCTCTCCTCGCGCATCATGGCGAACCCAAGCTTATTATCCCCCACCAGCAGAAACATCGCATCTAACATAAGTACGAACACAAACACTACCAACAACCTCGGTGCCGCCGCCACTCTACAGCAGCTCTACTACACCCTCGGCCTCGAGGACACGATCCCCTACGACAGCTTCAGCAGGACTCTTCCCGAGCTCGACGGCTCCGCCCGCAGGCTCCGCCATGCTAGCCTGCGCGAGTGGGATGATCACCCCACCAGAAGAGCGTTTGGGGCGCTGTATATGAGTAGGAGGGAGCCGGATCCGCATGATACGGCGGGCTTGTGTTGGAGTGAGGATGGGAGGGTTTTGTAAGTTTCTTTCTGCCTTGCCCTGTCTTGCCTTTTCTTCTTCGGTCATGTTATGCTTGCTTCGAATGGGAAGTTGGGTCTGGTCTGGTCTGGTCTGGTCTGGCATTGTTTGCTAATACATTTTGACTCAAAACAGGTTCGTCGGCGCCGAAGACGGGATTTACGAGTTCCATGTGAATTTGCTACAGAGGAGTCTGTTTCCTAGTTTGGGAGTATCGTTAGTGTTTCTTACTGTGCTCACGGGACTCACCGGGTTCATACAACAACGCCGGAATACTGAATGGGAACATTGGGGTGGACGATACTCCCCTTTTGATGTTGATGATTTCGGGGTATCATGCCATTCAAGAAACCGACACACACACACGCGTATTTTCCTTGGCTGTTTTGGCGTTTGGTATGGGCTTGATGAAGGGACGAAAGGAAATGAGGCGGTTTCGACAACATTTGGCAACAATTTTACCTTGCTCCCTTTGGGCTGAAACATGAACAAGTATATGGACATAGGAACCTCTTTATAGTTAGAAACGAACGAGCGAACGAGCGAACGAACGAACAAATATGGGAAGTGGGACGTGGGGCGCAGCTGATAGGCTGGAGTGTCTTTTGGCTGTGGAATGATGAAATATCTCTCGAGATGGTACTAAGCAAAGGGAGGACGAACCTGACAGCGGATGTATATCAAAAGGCTTAAGTCTGAGATGTGTTGTGTTTGCATCTGAATTGTGATGATGGAAGATGGCTACTACAAATTGTTCGGCCAGTGGATAACGTTGTTAGGTTCATAGCCTAAAAGTAATCGAGGTGAAGATTGTTGTATATGTAGTGTTATTCAAAAGTACTTCTTAACTCTCGAAGAGGAATTGAATGGTTTTATCCTGAGTTATTTCTCAGAATGTTCCGACGTTATCTAACTGTCCCGCCACTTGTTACGGATATCACTGTCACTGCTCGTCACCTCAAGTGAATGGCAAGAGATCATAATAATAACACGAATAACATTATGGGTTCGCGATGTCCCAGTATTAAGAAATGTTATGATGTGATGTATCTCCCGTCCTAATTCAATCTTTCCACCCCATCCATTTAATTCCATTCCACTTCAAACTCTCACCTCCCTTCATAGCATTGGTAACCAACCACCAATGCCCGTAACAAAACGGCACCCTGTGGAGGGAGGTATTATCCGCCAGAAAACGCCTGTAAGCCACACCGGCCATGTCCTGTCCTGTCCACTTAAACTAACAAACTGTTGAGTCGTCTCCCCTTTTGTTGTGTGGATACTCCATAGGCTTCACATTCTTGCATGCCCTGAAAAATAGGACACGTGCCTGTTTTGGAGGGCCCTTAAGGCCCGACATAACCCCTTAAAACGCCGTTATCGTAAATCATTTGTTCCTTCATCTAAGCATACGGATGAGGAAAGGCTGAGGAGCTTCTCATCACTCAGCAATCGCTTCCTCCTGGTGCGACTGCGAAGGGGCATTCATCTTGGGACGTTCTACATCTGAGATAGACGTCGAGCGATGAAGACCCGAAGCGTGAGTAGGTTCATGGGTGATGGCAACGTCTTTTCCTGATGATTCGGCTAGCTGACGTTCTGCACATTCATTTGTTAGCACCAATGATCCTTCAGATAACAGAAGATTTGAGGATGATAATATACCCAATTCGCGAATACGATGCCTCAACATCTGATTCTCCCTGACAAGCATCTGCGTCTCTGCCTGATAAAAGGCACTCTCATCCCTTCCTCCCAGGGCCCACTGGTCCATGCTGTCTGCACTAATCGACGTGGCGCGCACCCTAGGCGAAGCGCCTCTACTCGGCGTTCTGGACCGAGCCTTGTTGAGGTCGTTGTTGTTGCTGCGAGGGAAGTCGAACGAACCGCGGGGGTGGGGCAGGTAGCCCGGTGACTTGGGGATCGATGTTCCAGAAACTCCTCCCATCAGTGGTGTCGAGCTGTGATTAGGCGTGTCCCGTCCGGAGTTATCGTCGCTGATGGCGCCCGAAGATTGCTGGCGCTGAAGCTGGGATTGTAACCTCCGGATTTCACTGAGCAGACGGTTCACCTGGTACTCCTGCTCGTTCTCAAGCTCCTGGTGAAGCTCTCCGAGGCTAGGAGCCCGGTTGTGCTGCTGAGAGCGGCCGGGGATGGGCTGGGGCGAGCTGACGGATGATGGCTTGGAGCTGTCTGAAATCATTTCGCCAGGAGCTGGTATCGAGGGGTCGTTCATCTGGAGGTTCATGAGAACTTGTGATTGGCGACGACCGGCGCTGGGAATCTTGGGGGTCTGAGATGTATTAAGCGGGCTGGTGGTAGAGCCTAGATGGGAAGCAGGTGTCAGCAGGGTGATTTCAGAGTCATAGTTTGGCGTTTAGTCACGAACCTCGTAGTGAATCCTTGCGCTGAAGACCAGCGTTGAGGGTAGCTGCGGCCTGAAGGGAAACAGAGCCTGACCTGGGGGACGGCGAGGGAGATGCCTCCCTATTCTGGCCCAGAGGGGAATGGGTGCGGATTGACGACGACATGCTGGTACGTTTAGGTATCTCGAGGTTTGGTGTTGACGAAGATGGAGAAAGAGAAGCGTCTGGATCGGAGCCCATGTTGCTGTCGGAGCTCGTCTTGTTAATAGCTAGGCTAAGCTATTGAAGGTGGTATAGAGGTAATCGGGTCGCGTCGGCAAACGGAGGCGGCTAGGTGCAACGGCAAGGGCACGCTGTGACTGAGCAATCGAGGTATGCTTGGTTTGGATCAAACAGATTGGCCGGTGAATGAGTTACAGGGTGCCGTTAACGGAGTTGGAGAATGAGTCTCGAGACCGCGGAGAGGGTGTTCGGGTGTCCGTAACACGGCTGAAAGTGGCCAGTTTCACGTCACTAACTGGAGAGCACCGGCCCAGCAATGGCCCACCAGTGAGGTAATGGCGAGGCGGGACGGAAGGCCGAGAACAGTGGAGATCTTTAGGTGAGGTGATACGGGACGTTGCGATGTTAAAGAGGAGGAAATTGAATGATGATATTGGTAGATGTGATAAGATGGTCTAGGATCTCGTCTCTCCTCAGGTTCCTTTAAACAGGTTAAAAACGGATGAAGATGGACAATTTTAAAGCCGCCCATGTGTGGAAGGGAAGGATCTCTTGATGTTTCGGCTGTTTGGATGCAAGAAAATGCTTGGCATTGTCGAAGGTTTGCTGCGCCGAGCTGCTTCACCTTCCATGCCACCCCGCCATGCATCGCGGCTGGAAACAGCCAGAACATCGTCCACGGGGCGCATGATCGCAGGTGCAGCCACCTGTAACGGCTGTCTCACAGGCCACAAGGACCCCTAAGAATCTTGGCACATCCTCTGCCACCGGCATAAAGTGGAATGACGAAGACTTCCATCCTGTCCGCGTGCAACTTTTCACCCAGCATCATTCGAGATCTGACTGACCAAGGGTCGAACTTGTTGAGATCTATGCAAAATGGGGCAACAGGACTCTTTGTTAGGGTCGAGTCCAGGTTCGTGACCTCTTCTGAGGCGTTGGGGACGTCTAATCAGCCGCGCTACTCGGCGAAACCCGCATGTCCCTAACAACAACATGGAACCTTGAAAGCGGTCATGCTAGGCAATCCATCGGTACGCAGTAGAGCAACGTTATGATATAACACGCCCGCTTGCTCGAAAAAACCATTCGAATTGCTCGAAAACCAGTCCAGAATATACAAGAACTCAGCAGCTTTCCGGTCACACACTGAAACACAATAGCGACGGGATATTCCATTAGGGTCCAACCTCAACATAAGCTGGCCGCCTAGCCGAGACAAGGACAGCATCACGAGAGGACATGACTGATATTGAGGTCAGGTGTTTGAAAGGAAACTAACGGACGAGCCATACCTACCTATCCCAAAACAGGCAACCATAATCGTTACCGAGGTGGGACTTTCTCTTGGTTTCACACCTGAACAATCCCAAAGGCAATGGAATCCAATCACGTTTCGTCGGAACCCCGAGATTCTTCTTTTTTACGACTGTCAAAATGGATGACCGTCAAAGCATCAACGTTGCCGAGGAAATGCGGAAGCAAGCTGACGTTGGAAGCTGGCGGGAAAAGGCTTGGAATAACAACTTGCAGCACGTGAAGTTGTATGTGAATTCGCAGCTACCTACGTGAGGTCATGTTCTGATGTTGAAATATGCATGATGACAACACTGAACAGCACGGGTGGTCGTTGTTAGTAAGTGCGGGAAAGGCCGGCGTTAGGCCCGCATCTCGGATTCCCCACTTCTGGTGGAGTTGTCCCGACCTCCGACGGCGGGCAACCCGACTTCGGAACCATGCGCACGACCGCATTCCGTCTCCGCAAAGACCCGTGACTTACCCGTATACTCCAACAAGCCTACAATAACAGCTACCAACTCTCACCATGTCACTCATCCTCACACAGAGAGGTCGACTCGCGACAGCAGCAACAGCAACATTACGAAATGCAGTTACGTCATCGCTCATGTCGATAACACGGACTGGTCATCATCACCATGACAGTTCCCGTCTCTTCTCCCACACTTCCGCCTTCAACGCCGACTTCACCCACGCCGTAATAGGTGGCGGCGTAGTCGGCCTCGCCATCGCGCAGCAACTAGCCCGGCGGTCCTCCTCATTCTCCACCCTCCTCCTGGAGCGGCACCAAGCCGTCGGCACCGAGACCTCCTCGCGCAACAGCGAAGTGATCCATGCCGGCATCTACTACGGCGCGGGCACGCTCAAGACGGAACTCTGTATCCGGGGCAAGAACTTGCTCTACGAGCTCTGTGAAAAGCACTCAGTCCCCCACAAGCGCGTGGGCAAATGGATCGTCGCCCAAAACCAGGCCCAGCGCGAGGCACTCCAGCGTATCCACGATTTCTGCGTCAACGAGATTAACGTGCCCGTGCGCTGGGTATCAGCCGAGGAAGCGCAGCGACGTGAGCCGGCTGTGCGTGCCGAGGCTGGGATTCTCGAATCTCCCACCACAGGTATTGTTGATTCACATTCCCTGATGGTCTGTCTCCAAGGCCGGCTCGAGGAAGCAGGCG